AAATGAAGACGGCCCCCCCCCCCCGAGCCGCCCCCCCCCCCCGGAGGATTTCTCTAGCCCCGTGTCAATAGCGTGGAAGTGAGGAGCCCTGCCTAGGGCACGCTTGCTGGAGTGGGCTGCCAGGGTGCAGATGCCAGGCAGGGTGCCCGGATGAGCGGCTCACTCCCTCCACTGGGGTATTTGGAAGGGGTGCCCACCACAGACACAGGACAACGGGGAATTGTCCCACCCCGATGCGGACTGTGCACCTGCTGGGAAAGTGACTGTTCCTAGGACCGGGGCGTTCCAGGCAGAGCGCTGCAGCAGCCACCCGGGTCCCCACTCGGGAGCCTCCCGTAGTGGCCAGGAGTGTGGAGCCCCAGGTTCAGTCTGCTAAGAGCCCATCTGGTCCTCCAGCCAATGGCCTGCCCCTCCACGTTAGTGACCGGAGTGGAGGGGGCCGGAGGGCGTCAGCCCCAGGAATGCTCCCAGCCTTCAGATGCGTTGTTTTTACTGTCAGTGCGCCAGGGTTTCCCATCAGGGCTGCTGGACATGCAGATGAGCAGTCTGAGAGGCCGTTGTCATGGTTTTGTCTCTGGAAGATTGCTATGTGCTGATGAAAGGTGGAAGCCAGCCCTGGGCCCTGGGCCTGGCGGGATTCAGAGTGCGATAAGAAAAGCAATTCTGAGAGTTGTCTGTCCGCGGGTCTGGGCTTCCTGTCTGTTCTCGGTTAACCATTTAGCTCCACTCCTGACCTGAGCACCAGGGTCCACAGGGGACGCTGGTGGAAACGGCTGAAGTGTTTCCAAGTGTTTTTTCCTGAGGTGTTGGAGCAAGGCAGGTATCTGATAAGCCTTTCTTTCTTTCTTTTGGGGGTGGGGGAGAGTCTTTTGCTATAGGGTGCGTGCGCTTGCCAGAAAGAGAGAGAGAGAAAGTGAGAAATCACCCCTGGGGGGATGGCCACGCTGCAATCCCTTCTTCATTCTCTTCTCGGGATCTGCCCAGCATGAGTTTAAGCCACTGGGTCCGGGACTCAAACCACATGGGAGTCCGGCAACATAGCCATTATGCCAACTGCTGGTCCCCTGATCAGCCTTTCTGAGATCATCCTTGTTGGAGGGGCTAAGCACCCACTCCCGGGAATGTGGGCAGCTTAGTTGCGTAGTTTGGGGGGGATTTGGAAGAGGCACCTTCATGCTGTGGTTTAGCCAGGGCCTCGGGGCGGGAGGCAGCCTGAGGGTGTGCAGGATGGAGCTGGAGGTGAGCGGCGAGGGGCCGCGGTGTGGGGGAGCTGCATTTCCATTAGCCTGTGACAGTTCGTTGACTTGATTTATTTGCCCGAGCTTCACCAAGTCCCTTTTCTCTTGCAGACAGAGATTGCGAAGAGACTGAACACAATTTTAGCGCAAATTATGCCTTTCCTGTCACAAGAGGTAAGAGCTGCTTTTACCGGTTCCTCTTTCTCTCGGATTAGCCCCGTGGCTGACTGGGTCTCGCTGAGTCCTGGCTCCTGTCCCCGCGTAACCAGCCACGCTGATAACCTACAGCCAGGGGCTTTACAGGCCTTCTCCGGATTCTGGGCGGGGCCGTGTCAGAAGGACCATTTGCTCCTTCTCCTGGTACGACTGGTTTTCTGCTCCTCTGGGCCAGAGAGGAGGCCCTGGCCAGCGCCTGGACAGGGAGGGGCTGCCGTGCTCCCTCCAGTTCACACTGGTGCTCAGCTCTGCTTTCTGTCCCTCTGTCCCGACACCAGGAAGCATGCAGGAACAAAGTTCAGATGCGTTGTTTTTACTGTCAGTGCGCCAGGGTTTCCCATCAGGGCTGCTGGACATGCAGATGAGCAGTCTGAGAGGCCGTTGTCATGGTTTTGTCTCTGGAAGATTGCTATGTGCTGATGAAAGGTGGAAGCCAGCCCTGGGCCCTGGGCCTGGCGGGATTCAGAGTGCGATAAGAAAAGCAATTCTGAGAGTTGTCTGTCCGCGGGTCTGGGCTTCCTGTCTGTTCTCGGTTAACCATTTAGCTCCACTCCTGACCTGAGCACCAGGGTCCACAGGGGACGCTGGTGGAAACGGCTGAAGTGTTTCCAAGTGTTTTTTCCTGAGGTGTTGGAGCAAGGCAGGTATCTGATAAGCCTTTCTTTCTTTCTTTTGGGGGTGGGGGAGAGTCTTTTGCTATAGGGTGCGTGCGCTTGCCAGAAAGAGAGAGAGAGAAAGTGAGAAATCACCCCTGGGGGGATGGCCACGCTGCAATCCCTTCTTCATTCTCTTCTCGGGATCTGCCCAGCATGAGTTTAAGCCACTGGGTCCGGGACTCAAACCACATGGGAGTCCGGCAACATAGCCATTATGCCAACTGCTGGTCCCCTGATCAGCCTTTCTGAGATCATCCTTGTTGGAGGGGCTAAGCACCCACTCCCGGGAATGTGGGCAGCTTAGTTGCGTAGTTTGGGGGGGATTTGGAAGAGGCACCTTCATGCTGTGGTTTAGCCAGGGCCTCGGGGCGGGAGGCAGCCTGAGGGTGTGCAGGATGGAGCTGGAGGTGAGCGGCGAGGGGCCGCGGTGTGGGGGAGCTGCATTTCCATTAGCCTGTGACAGTTCGTTGACTTGATTTATTTGCCCGAGCTTCACCAAGTCCCTTTTCTCTTGCAGACAGAGATTGCGAAGAGACTGAACACAATTTTAGCGCAAATTATGCCTTTCCTGTCACAAGAGGTAAGAGCTGCTTTTACCGGTTCCTCTTTCTCTCGGATTAGCCCCGTGGCTGACTGGGTCTCGCTGAGTCCTGGCTCCTGTCCCCGCGTAACCAGCCACGCTGATAACCTACAGCCAGGGGCTTTACAGGCCTTCTCCGGATTCTGGGCGGGGCCGTGTCAGAAGGACCATTTGCTCCTTCTCCTGGTACGACTGGTTTTCTGCTCCTCTGGGCCAGAGAGGAGGCCCTGGCCAGCGCCTGGACAGGGAGGGGCTGCCGTGCTCCCTCCAGTTCACACTGGTGCTCAGCTCTGCTTTCTGTCCCTCTGTCCCGACACCAGGAAGCATGCAGGAACAAAGACCCTGGCCAGTCAGTGCCACGGCCAGGCCCTCTGCAGAGGCCTGCTACCCAAGGGGCCCTCAGCCCCCAGCCCCAGAGTGCATCACCTGTGAGGGACGTTCTTTGGGGCTGACCGGGGGGGACTCGGAGGGAAACGGCCCTGAGGAGGCTCCTGTGCAGGGCCGGCAGGGCAGGCAGGCCTCCGACTCTGGCCCCTTGCTGTTGGGGCAGGCCCTGCTGGGCAGTCTCCCTCAGTCCCTGCCACCTTGTCAGCTTCCTCGGGTAGGTGTGACCAGTCAACAGTTGGATTGAGAGGAGTCAGTATGGGGGCTGGCAGGTCGCGTGGTGGTTAAAACACTGGCCTCCCACATGGCCAACTGCGGTTCAGGTCCTGGACCTGGCGGCTTGCTTTCTCACTTTCTCTCTCTGTCTCTCCAATGAGCACATGTGCCTATAGCAAATTAAAAAATAATAATGATAAATGAAATTAAATAATTATTTAGAACGTGAGTATGGTAATGCCCCCGGGCCTGTACTCCGAAGGGAGACTACTGGGCGTGGCTGCCAGTGTCTCAAGGCCAGGGAGCGAGTGTAGTGCATTCTTTTAACATACTAATATTTCGTTTTTCTCTTTCTGAGTTTGTTTATTTCCTAATGAGAGAGGGATTGCAACAGGCATCTCCCACAGAGTCCTTGTGCCACCATGCTCCTTTGAGCCCCACAGCCAGCCTGACCACAGGTGGCCCGTGGGTGTGTTGAGGCAGGCCCGGGTCTCGAACCCAGAGCCTTCTCACATAGTCTTAGCATCGTGTGGCAGTGCACCCCTGCAGCTAGACCCAGACTTT